ACCCAAGCCTGTTCCCAAATTATCCAACTGTAAAACTTACTTATATCGGAGTGATTATATCAAATCAGACAATTTAATTGTACCAGTTAGAAATAATCAAATTATAAGAGAGTTCAACAATAGTTTTAACAACATTTATAGATATAGAGTTAATGAAGCAACAAGAAAATCTGAATTTAGTTTATTAAGTGTTGGGATTGAAACTCGTAAGCATTACTATCATTCATATTAGATTACTTGCATTTACATATATTTTCAAATCCGAGAAAAATGGATCTGTATTTTATCTTTTGTATTCTATGTCTAGTCTATACAAAAGAGGAATCTCCAATCATAACGCACTCCATTGTGCGCAGCAGCACGAAGCGAAAAAAGCAGAAAAAATGAGGAAACTAGACAAACAATTCGTGACCTTGAAAATAATAAAAAAGTTGCACTGCTATAAGTAACATTGAATAATCTTTAAACAAAATGAGAAGAGGTACAAGAGAAAAGTTACAATCCCAATAAACATTAAAGAGGCAGTTATGAATTGCATATCCAAATACAACAAAAACAAGGCTAGTCATTCTTGCGTTAGCTGTATTCTTCTCTCTCTACTTCACTAATTTTAACGCCCCTCACTTTAATTTAAATACAACATTCAACCTCTTTTGGCTTCTTCTTCTCTAAATCCGCCACTGCAATTTACATATCTACATTTTCTGCGCAAACACATATATTGCTGTTAAATGCAATAAAAGTTATACTAACTAATTTTAAAATGCTGAACTCACTCTCAACTTCAATTTTGAATAAAAGCTTTTTTACACTATTAATTGGTTTATTAGTACGAATCTAAATTATTCCACCAATATATTTTGAATTTTCTATATGATTAAAACAGAAAAATTCTGTGTTTAAATATCAACAATATTATGCTCATCACTAAAGATTGTGGTGAAGTAATTTGTATGGTTTCATTTTTAATCAAAGCTTCAACTTCAAGTTCTGAGTATAAAATTGCATTTAATATGAAAATTCTATATTTTAAAGCATAAATCAAAATTAATAGAGTCCCAAAGCTGTAAACAATTATCTTCTCTCTTCAAAACGACAGGCAAAACAATGTGAGCTAAAGGCCAAACCCCAAAGCCACCTCTTCTTTGTAATTTCCATAAATCACCTCTCAACATCCACTGATCAGAATTTTGTTACAAAAACCCTTAAAACAGCTTCTCTCTCTTTCATCACCTTCTTTTCTTCCATTTCTGACCTTAACTTTGAGTCGGTTTCACTCTTCACATTTCAAAGATCATCTAAATCTGATCTTTATCTATATCTATTTTTTCACATATAAAGATTGGATTTTTGCACATACTCTTTAATTTATTGTAATTATAGAATTCTGGGTTTATATTTGTTTCAGTAAAGTTTTGAGGTGCATTTTCAATGGCTGCTGATGCACAAGCAGTGATTGAGGCTCCTGCCCTTCAATCAAAATATTCTGATGCTGGTTCTGAAGAATCTGACTTTAATTCCGACGAAAATGTGAATAATTCTGAATCTGTTGTTACACCTAATGGTGCGAAGGACTCATTAAATGCTAAATCGGACTCTTATCAAATGCAACATATTGTTGACATGTTGAAGAAACTCAAGTTGAATCCACTCGCCAAAGAGTTTGTTCCTTCTTATTGTTATAATAATCGTGATCAGATGCTTTTTGTGCCTGCTAATAAGACTCTGGTTGCTGATGCTTTCCCAAATAACAGAAGGGTATTGTTTCCACTCTGAGTCACATTGATTAAGCTGTTGAATTTTTATTTTGTAATTTTTGTTGATCGTTTCATGACTTAGATAATTATTTGCTTCCCTGATTTCACTTGAAAGAATCGCAATTCTGATATATTTGAAGTATTGATGACTGAATTCATAATGAATTTGCTTTAGTCTCTGCTGAAGTGTATTTCAGTTTACAAGTTCTGCTTTTCCAGTCTCTTTTTATTTCCTTATTTATAAAATAATAAAAAAAGTATCTTTCTTGTTTTCTATAATAATATTTTTGTGTTGGATTTTTGTGAGGGTGTCTTTCCATGCATTAATTAGTGGTAAATTTGTTGAATTATGGAAAATACAGTTCGTTTGACAATTTACTAATTTTCCTGGTAAGAAATTTCAGATATGGGAATGTATTTGGAAGCGTCATTTAATCTTACGAGATATATTCGATAATCAGTCTCTCGAATAAGTTGTTGTAAAAGGTTTCATGCTTTGGGCCATTCATCATTTATCAAGGGTAGTTGGTATGAATGTAGAAGCTGGATTTCAAAATTAGATGGACTTGTGGATTCTGAAGCTCTTTTTGTGAAATTGGATTCTTGACTCTCTTTTTAGTAATTAATTGCTGACTTTCCTTTTTTTTAAAATGGAACTTTGAGATTGAGTTAATTATTAGTATCATTGACTTTAGTTGTTAGAGTAGTTGTGGATGCTTAGCTTGTAAAATATCAATGAATGATATTTTTCCATTGTCGTGAGTGAGGTGAATTTGAGGTTTTGATCTAAGTGTTCACTTGTGAGTTGTACCTTTTCATTACTCTGGTTGTTTCAGTGGTACTTGCATACAACATTTTGCTATATGTAGACTAAATATTAGGGAATGAATTGATTTTCGTATAAATTGGATCAAAAGTTTTGGTCTAAAAAGGCTTACCAAATGTGCACAGCCTTCCCTTTGCATCAAAGAGGTTGTTCCATGACTCGAACCCGTGACCCCGGCACAAGTCACCCAAGGAACAACTCTACCATTGCTCCACAGCTCGTTCTCGTTAAAAACTTTCAACTATTCACATAAATTTATTTACTTTCATATAGAGAGTGCATTTTAAGAAAGTTCAACCCTCCATGCTTTTCAACTCAAGGATTGCGTTTCAGACCATAATTAGTTAATTACCATGATTTAATAAATACCCTAGTGTATTGCGAATTGCATTTTGCCGTTCTTGAATTGATTTTGATTGCTCAATTAAGTAATCCGACCCTCACTAATTTTCATTACTATGTTTCAGCAGAGAGGTAACAACTATAACCAGGGCAGAAGGAGAATGAACAATAGAGCTTTTAGGGCTCAAAGGGAAGATAGCATTAGGAGAACAGTCTATGTTTCTGACATCGATCACAATGTAAGTAAGGATGGATGCTCATTAATCTTCTTATTATGTTCTGTTTAGTATTTATATAGTTCCTCTTTCTGACTCTGCCCCACAGGTCACGGAAGAGCGGCTTGCTGCATTATTTAGCGCTTATGGACAAGTAAGTGACTATGCTCTTCTAGACATTGATGTGGTTCGTTATATTAGATATTTGAGTGCTTTAAGTGCAAGGTGGATGCTTCTATTTTGTACTTTGAGAAACCTAAAAGCTATTAATGAATTTAGTTTCATACTTTAGCAGATGAAAGGCCTTGGCTTGGATCGCCTATAAAGTATGTTTGTCGCTCTATTTACAGGATGATGAAATTCCATGACTCGTAAATAATCAATAACCTTTAGACTGTCTAAAATTACAAGTTATCATCAGTACTAATCATTAGGCTGTTTTACACATTAATATCGTCGAGTTATCTTGATCATTGCCATAATGATGCCTAGAGGAGCCGGCTTCAAATTACTGATGAGATGCAGCAACATATCTGTTTTCTGTCTTTGGCAGATGGAGATGTTCTTTTTATTTGTTGCGTGTGGAATTACAAAACAAAAGTAGAAGCCCTAAAGGCAAGTCTGCTAGATGCACATGCAAAACTTAACAGCTTCAACAAAAAACACGTGTTAATTCATATAACAGATATTTTCCATAAACTTGAAGAATAGAAGGTTAATAAGCTGCCAACTTTCATATTCCTTGTAGGTTTACTACTGAATACCAAGGGAACTTCTATCATTGACTTCGAGTTTCACATAATCTTTTTGTTGTTTCACGTAATCTTTCACCTTTACAGAAATCTATACATTAGGAAGACTCTAAAGAAAGTTACAATATCCAGAAGGAAATAGGTAGCTGAATTTTGAACTACAAGGTCCCTAGAGCTCAAAATGACTCTTATCTTTTGCTTGTTACCTCCCTTTTCTTTTCATTCTTTTGGTTTCTGGAATGTGCCAGAAGTTGGAGTTTCCTTATAGATCCTTCTTTCCACTTGCTTTCATGTCATAGTGACGTGCTTAAACTGGTCTTCTACACAGTAGCGAGATGTCGTTGTGCTTATTATGGTTAAGGTTTGCATGAATTAGTGTATGCAAATTTGATGTTTTGTCTCCTAACTTGTGTCATCAGCTCAGGAGTTTGTTTACAGTTTGGTTACGGTTCGTCGCCAATTATATTGTGTGATTTAGGGGGCTTAGGATTTTTTACTTGCATGATCCAATCCATTTCTGGTTTTGTCTTTCCAAAGGTCCCCATCATGAGAATTGATACTCCATACACTCACTTGTACTATTCTTAGTATGGAACAGTCCAAGTAAAAGTTTGATTTGTGTGGAAATTTAGATTAAGTTGTTTGTTGTCAGACTGTGAGGTGTTGGTGAAGGTTGGAGTTTGGACAAAGTCACGATGCTTATATTCCTGTTTGTTATAGTTGAATTTATTTTCAACTTGCCATTTTGATATTAATTGGACTGTTCTGAGATTATTTAAGGCACATCCCCAGTGTGCAGCAGATCTATTTATTTTTGTACTTAATTTGGCTTTGTCTTGGTATTATGAGGTTTCTTTTAAGGAGTGTAATATTGACTGTTTTTGTTTTGGCTGCATTTGCTCTACAGGTTGTTGACTGCAGAGTGTGTGGTGATCCACATTCCCGCCTTCGCTTTGCTTTTGTGGAATTCGCCGATGAATGTAAGTTGGAGTGGCTTGAAGTTTTTCTTAGGACTGCTGAACATTCAGAACTAACTTGTCATATGGAATCATTCCAACAGACTCAGCAAGAGCAGCACTTAGCCTTTGTGGGACGATATTAGGATTCTCTCCTCTGAAGGTTCTACCTTCAAAAACTGCTATTCTACCCGTGAATCCAACATTCCTTCCTAGGGTATGCACAGATCTGTGTTGTTCTGTTAACTTGTATATGGATGATGTGGCAAATAAATCTGTCGTTCTATCTCATGTTATACAAGTAAGGTCATGGAATTAAATGCTTAGTTTTCCATTATGTGTACATTCTATATGCAGTCTGAGGATGAGCGCGAGATGTGTGCCAGGACAGTCTACTGCACAAATATAGATAAGAAGGTATAAATTCTTACCTTTGAAATCTTCTGAAGTTATCATGCTATTTTTAGCACATCTTTTTGTGGGATACCAGTATGTGATGCCCAGTTTATGACAATCTGGCTCAGTTACTTTATTGCTGGTTGTATATTTTATTTTTCCGGTAGTTTCTATTATTGTCATAATCTTCAGAAAGTTCAAATGTATTGTACTCTATCCTGAACAGGTTTCTCAAGCTGATGTCAAGAATTTCTTTGAAACAAGATGTGGTGAGGTTAGTCTGATGTCTGAAACTTCTTATCAAGTTTAAGAATGTTTGCTTAAGAAGTGATGCTGAAGCTGCTCTTCTCTTTACAGGTGTCTCGCCTGAGGCTTTTGGGGGATCAAGTGCATTCTACCCGTATTGCTTTTGTTGAATTTGTTATGGTGAGTTGATTTTCTTTTCCTTTTTCTTTGAATTTTAGTTGGGATATAGAATCAATAACCCATTGTTACCTTCACCCTTACAACAATAACAACCCAGTAAAATCCCACAAGTGGGGTCTGGGGAGGGTAGAGTGTACGCAGACCTTACCCCTACCTCAAGGGGTAGAGAAGCTGTTTCCGATAGACCCTCGGTACCTTCACCCTTATATTTCGATATTTATGCATTCATGTCCCACCTGCATCAAAGAGAAATAGGTGCATTGCATGCACCTATAGATTTTAATGTCCCCCTTATTTAGTTTTGTGCCATGGGATTGTCAACACCATCTTTTTTGTAATTCCTCTGAATGTACTTCTCTTCTTTACTCTGTTATTCTGTGGCAACCTAGCATAATATTTAATATTTTCCTTTTGAAGATCTAAACAGGTGTTGGAATATAATGGAAAAAACAGGAGAAAAAGGAAGTGGAAATAATTCTGACCGCTGAATCTTCTTAAAAACAACAATGTGTATCTAGTAAATTTTGCATGTAAAGAGATACTTAATAAATGTGCAGGCTGAGAGTGCTATATTGGCATTGGACTGTTGTGGACAGATTTTGGGATCCCAACGCATCAGGTACCTTAGTTAGAAGTAACTTTGATTGCAGCTAATATTGCATCTTTGTAAGCTTGGTATGTTGGGTTGTTTTCTTTTCAAGTAGGCACCATACTCATGCATTCTAAGGTTCCCCTTAAACTGCAAAAGCTTTCTTTTCTCTCTTTCTCTGAATGTATACTATGCCATTACGTGCTTTCTGCCTTTCTGTCATCTGAAAATGAACCTCAAAAGTAATGCTAGAGATACGGGCAGTGCATGTGAGATGCTAGACTTGATATCCATCGGTTATTTAGTTTTTGGGACACGCTGAGGCTAGGGAATATTTTTGTGTTTGTCCCTTGTTCTAAGTGTGAGTTTATGCACTGTAGTCTTGAGAAATATGGCAGTCCCAGGTGCCTGCTTGTACATACAAGCATTTCAACTGAATTAGTACTCCCTTTGCACAAGGGCGGCTCAGGGGGAGGCTAGTAAAGCCTTTGCTTCAAGCCCCCTAAATTTTTGGGGGCCCCAAATGTTTAATTGTATTATGATTTTATTTTTTCCCAACTTGTTTGGGACTAAGGATTTTATTTTTGCTTATAAAGTATTGAAGTTTGTAGGAAAAAGAAAAAATATAAAATCTTTATAAAAAGGAATGAAAGAAAAGTTGCCCATTATTTAACAGCAGAAATACTTTAGAACCTTGAATTAAACTACTCAAATCTTACTGTCGTTAAATAAAAACTTTTGCAACAAGATCCAACGTAATATATTGCAAACACATAGCTAACATCTTATTAACTGGAATTAGCGCTTACCAATATGAATAATAACATTACTATGAGATATTGTTGTGAACTTAAAGGGTCTTGTAACAATATTATGTTGGGACAAAAAAAGAAGCTCGACACCATTTTTTTTTTCCATATATGTGTTTGTGTATGTGTATATATATATATATAAAATTCTATTAAAAAAGTTTAAGGGCTCTTATTTTATTGAGCAACCCTTGCCTTTGCACTAATAAGAAAGAGCCTTCACTCATGTACCGTTCATACTCTAGCCATAATAACCTTTCCACCCTCTTTGCCAAATTTTATTTTTTATACTTTGCATATGATAGAATTTATTGCCATCGCGCTATACTTTTCTCATTCAGCTATGCATACCATAGGGCTTTGTCTTCAAACTTTCCCCCTTCCCCAGGTGCTCTGCTCTTTAAATAGTTTTTCTTCTACAAGAGGGTATGACATCCTATCTAATGTCTGTTCTAATTTTACAACTTTGTTAATGTCAAGGGTGAGTCCTTCAAAGACACCGGTGAGGCCACGAGTTCCTCGTCCCGCCATGCATTAGTCAATCCTTTGTAGCTCAAGGTCTGGAAAGTGGTCAGCGCAAGCCCTCTTGGAAGACTTGAGATTTCGCGATGGGAAAGGCGAAACAAGCTTTTGTTTCAGTAATTTTCATTTTTCTTTTTCCCCTCTTCATTTTATCCTGCAGTGACTCTTTATCGAAGATATTGTTGATCCTGCTTTAGTTTCAGAAACGTCCCAACCTTTATCTACTTCCAGTTTTCATGTTATTTAATCACTTTTTGGTTGGTGGTTACTGAATATTTGGTTTAAGGCGTAGCAATGCATATGCATGATGCATTTTTTTTCCTAATAAATGGCCATTTGTGCAATTAAAGAATGAAGGCAATCTTTGGTGCCCCTTCAAAAAGTCCATTTTTTGGATGATCATGAGATTAGATGGCAGTCTGCAGTTTTGAGGCCTAAATATCAAGTTACATATGCATAATTTCTGAGGCACAATATCAGTAAAACCGAGATATTTATTTAATTAGTTTAAACTTGCTTATAATAAGTTAAGTTGTCGTCCTCATAAAAAATAAATCCATGGTTAAGTATTTATTTAATTCAAGTAAATATTGATTTAGGTGGCAAGTTTCTTTAATACGTAATTACATTTGAACTAAGACACAATAGGAAAAGGGACTGCTGTGTTTGGCAATCAATAAACTTGGAGTTTGTCAACTTCTCATATTCTAGAAAATGAGGTTTCAGCAAGATGGTTGGACCGCTAGATTTGGTTGGTCTAAAAGGAAACTCAATTAAGATAGTCTCCCGAATATATTTAATTTCAAGCGCTATATTTGATGTATTTTTATTGGGGCTTTCTACAGTTGGACCAAAGACCCTACAATATTTTCAAGTGTAAATTTATGAGTCATCCGATTTTAGTTTACTCTTATTTGTTTGGAGAAAACACCCCATATTATTTTCTGAATTTAGTTTATGAATGGTCTGACTTTTGTTTACTCCTATTTATTTTAATTCTTGCACACGAGTAGTTGAAAGTTAATTGGGTTTTTCCTCAATCTTTGCATAATTAACGGTATTACATGACAAAATATAATACGGCAAATGACCAAATATACCCCTCTACTTTCGAAAATGGTCTAAGAATACTCCTCGTTATACTATTAGGTTATCTATACCCCTTCAGTCATACTTTGGGTTCAAATATACCCCTCATTTAAACGGAGGGACACGTATCATCGTCATGTTGGTCAATTCTAAATATTTTCTAATTAATTAAAAAGACTCATTATCCATACCCGATTTTTTTTTTTTTTTATAAAAACTGAAAAAAACTAAATTGTTTTTTTTTTTTTTACTAAAAACTGAAAAAAATGAAAATATTTTTTTTCCAGTTTTTACAAAAAAAACTTCTTTAGAAAAACTGAAAAATATTTTCTAAAACAATATTTTTGTAAAAACTGAAAAAAAAAAAAAAACTGAAAAGCAATTTTCTAAAGCAATTAAAAACTGAAAAAAACTGAAATATTTTTAATTAAAAACTGAAAAAAATATATTTGTTTTTTCAATTTATACAAAAACATTGCTTTAGAAAATTATTTTTTTTATTTTTTTTTCAGTTTTTACAAAAATATTGTTTTAGAAAATATTTTTCAGCCTTTTTTAAAGCAGTTTTTTTGTAAAAACTGGAAAAAAAATATTTTCATTTTTTTTAGTTTTTAGTAAAAAAAAAATCAGTTTTTACAAAAAAAAAATGCTTTAGAAAATTGATTTTCAGCTCTTTTTTTTCAGTTTTTTCAAAAACATTGTTTTAGAAAATATTTTTCAGTTTTTTCTAAAGCAGTTTTTTCGTAAAAACTGAAAAAAAAAATATTTTAATTTTTTTTCAGTTTTCAGTAAAAATAATTTCAGTTTTTTCTAGTTTTTACAAAAAAAGACTGCTTTAAAAAATTACTTTTCGGGTATGAGTAATGAGTCTTTTTAATTAATTAGAAGATATTTAGAATTGACCAACAGGACGATGACACATGTCCCTCCGTTTAAATAAAGGGTATATTTGAACCCAAAGTATAACTGCAGGGATATAGATAACCCAATAGTATAACGATGGATATTCTTAGACTACTTTCGAAAGTAGAGGGATATATTTGGCCTTTTTCGAAAGTAAAAAATAGTTATAATATATATTTACCCAATTACTCATAACGAATCACGGAATTAGTTACATACAAGCCCTCTTTACCTGGATTCAAATTGATCTAGAAAGCCAGTGTTATTAATACATCAATGAATTTATTTATTTATTAGTATAGATAGTGTGCTCTCTGACTACATTCCAAGACAAGCTCCTTTAAATCCTACAATTTCAAGACAAAACATTGTAGCATGTGATTGAAAAATGATTCATTTTGTACATCACACTAAAACGTTACTTCATCGGTACAAAATGTGTTAATCAATGAACTAATTGTAAATCATGCAAAAAAAAAGTTCTCTGGTTAAAATATTACAATTTGAAATCACAATGAACACGTTCGAATTTTTAGTACTTCCTAACTACCGTTGTTCATAGATTTCCCATTCTCCCGTTAACTACTTCATTCGTCTCATTTTATGTAAACTTGTTTGACTGTAATGAAGTTAAAAAAGAAACAAAAATGATTGGAACTTATGGTCTTAAATATTACATAACATTTATGTGGCCATAAGATTATGTCATTAAAGCTAAAAATTAAAATTAAATTGTTTTTTAGCACAGGAAGATGCCATTTTTTAACGAGCAATTTATGCAAAATACCCATTGAGCTTAAATTAATTACCATTTTCTGCCCATTTAAAAACTAGTTATAATATATATTTACCCAATTAAAATTAATTACCCGACCTACCCGCTTGGCTTAACTTAACTTGACTTGGTTTGGCTTAGCTTAACTTGATTTGGCTTGGCTTTATGGGTATTTAAAACATTTGTGGTAGGGCGGGTAATTTTTGTCAGCCGCATGACGTACAAACCGAACCGGAAAACTGCATCAAACCGAAAAGTCAAACCAAGTCGATTAAAAAACCCGACTAGGTTTGGTTTGATTTCGTTTGATATTGAGTAAAACAATTCGAACCAAACCGATATATAATTTTTATATATACTTTTAAGACTTTATATAGAATTTTCTTTACAAAAATTCTAAAAATATTTGGGATTCTCTTATGAGATATAATATTTAATAGAATATGAAGTACTCTGTTCTTATTAACCTTAAGTAATGAGTTATATGATCAATTTCTTATCAAGTGTTACTGAAAAGCCTCTTTATTCTTCCATGTTCATATGTCAAAATCTATTAAATTCTTATATCTTTTTCGAATTTAAAGTGGTATTTTGACAGTCTAAAATTAAATAGAACATATCATTAATTAGGTATCATATTGATTTTTATATTTAATTAGTAAATTCGTTTAACCTTGAAAGTATACAACAACGAAAATTTATTGTCACACGACTAAAAAAGTAACTATCATGTGTTATTAACAAAATTCTCCCATAAATATTTTTTAATAGATCATATGTTTGTCAATTTTTTTGATTTTTACTAAACATATATTTACTTATAAAAAATTTAACAAAGTAAGATTGAAATAATATTCATGTAACAAAAAAATTCGAAAAACCCGACAAAACCGAATCAATTCAAACCGATATAGTTGGTTTGGTTTGATTTTAATAAAAACTGAGCCAACCCCATCCAGGTACACCCTAAGCCTAGGTATTTGGCAAAGATTCCCCATTTTTAACAAAGCTACAAAGGGAAAAGAGTAACACAAAATGAAACACAAGGAATATATAAAAATAAATAAAGAATGCTATTCCGTTAATGGCATTTTTGGTCCCTACTTATTGTTAAATTTTAATGTTTATCCTTGAAATTTGACTTAACATATTTATATGTGTGCTTTTGTCCCTTTACATAAAAAATATGTTATATTTGGACTATTTGTAAAGTTATGTTACCGTCATATATGGTATACTGATTATCAATTTAACATAAAACATGGACAATTAAATATTAAAATGGGTAGTAATTATGTTAAACTTCTGAATATTTACAAGAAAAGAGATCAAAGGTGCACATTTCAATTAATTGAAGGATAAATATATTTAGAAAAAGTACTATTAATATCACAAGGACTAAAACCAGAATTATCAATAACTGACGGACCAAATGTGCTAATAATCCAATACTATTTGTACAGTATTTTAAATAATCTGTTTTCGCCCCCAAGTTAGAAAATTGTACAAGTCAGCGCGGGATGCTATGACACGATCCCAGGAGTCTTGGGGAAAACTCAAAATTTGCCGGACAAGAAATGATTGATGACAATTTCTAGGTATTTGGCTATTGTATTTTCTCTCTCTCTCCCTTGGGCTCTACGGATTAGAAATTACAGAGAAACTGGAAGTGTAGGGTTTTGTAGGCCCTATACTTTTTGTTGTTAATTAATGGAGTAAAGGAACATCTCTTTATAGATGTTTGACTAAAGAATGACAATCCAAAACTTTGACCATTTCTCTTGTTGAATCCAATGATAATGGGAAACACTCCGTCGTTCCACAAAGCTTTGCCTAGTATGTTTTTTGGTTTTCATTTGGTGTTAGATGTTCGATACCCGCATTAGAGTTCGACTATATTAGTATTTGCGTCGCGTAATACCCCATTTAGGGGGAAGCGCTCCCTACCAAAGATTTTTTCATACATATGGCTCGAGCCAAAAACCCCTGATTAAAGGAAGAGCAGTTCCTATATGCTGCACCACATCGACGACCTTCAGAAGATTACATTATAGCCCATGTCGCCATCTACCACTTCGAACAGAGTGGTCTTTGTTACACCTTCGATATGTGTGGGTAGCAAAATTTCTCCTCGGGTTGTCATACTTGTTAGGTTGAAGGCAACTAGAAGTTTTTTGCCAAAATGATGTTCCCGGTTAACTTCGCTTGCTCCAAACTCTCTATTGAATGATGTTGGCCAGATTTTCTGGATCAACCAAAATACGCTTAATTTTGAAATCCAAAACATTGAGAGAAATTACCAAAGCATCATTGTGCGGTAGAAAAGTCCACCATCATTGTAACGACCCGACCGATCGTTTTGAGTATTATAACCCAGTTCCCCCATTTACTGCTCAAGTTATGCTTTACAATTATTTTATGACTTATCGGGTTAGTTGGTTTAGGCCCGGGAGAATTTCAGAGTGTATTGAGATACTTAGTCTAAAAATTAAAAACTTAAGTTGGAAAAGTTGACAGCATATTGACTTATGTGTAAACGGCCTCGGATTCGAAT